TATGCCAAGCCAAGTCATCATGAATCATCATGAGACAGCTACTTACGCCAAACGTCATTGAGTTAATTCCTTATGCCACGTCATGTTTTCATGAGATAGCTACTTATGCCAAACGTCATTTATGCCAAGCTATGTCATCATGAGTTAACTACTTAGGCCAAGCCATGTCATCACGAGATAGGCCAAACATCATTCATGCCAAGCTATGTCATCATGAGTTAACTACTTAGGCCAAACCATGTCATCATGAGATAGCTACTCAACCATATACCCCATCCGCCACCGCCCCTAACCCAAGCCCAGCATCAAAAAAGTTACGGCATCAAAATTCACACATTCTTTCATTGTGTATATATATGTGTGTTTTTGCATCCCAATCCCCCGCCCGTGTCTCTCCATGTTTCTTCTAAGACACCCTCTTCTCCCAAATCTCCATCTCTCTCATCGTAGACCGCCGCAGCGCCGTCTCTGTGGTCCTCGCCCGAGGAGGATCGTTTGGTCTCCATGATCCTCTGGGGTCCGCCGGGCTGCGGAAAGACCTCCTTCGCCCACTGCCTCGCCGCACAGTCCGCGACGTCGACCCGGTCGACCCCCGCGGGGTCGTGCCCGAGCGGCACGAGCGGCACGACGTGCTTCCGCCAGCTCTCGGCCGCGCGCGTGGGGCTGGCCGAGCTGCGGGAGGAGTTGAAAGCAGCACAGCAGAAGGCAAAGAAGGGGGTGAAGACCATCCTCTTTGTGGATGAAGCTTGGAACTTCGCCATGGGTGTTGGGTGAATAAGTGGAATAAGAATGTTTGTGTGTGTTGAACGGCAGTCACTCCGTAGTAAGGCCAGACTGAGGACATCCAGGTCCAGGTCCTTCATGTTCACACGCTTGGAGTCTTTGTTTGCATGGAGATGTGGCATGGCGTTTTTGGGGGAACCTCTTTACTTGGTGTCTGGATGTATCTGGTGGTCTGGACCGGAAGCCTTCGGAGCTCCGATTCCGGCGGTCCGCTTCCGATTCGGCCACCCCTCGCTCGATTTGCTCCGCTCAGGAGTTGCACAGATGGTCCAAGGCGCAGCAGGACGCCTTGCTGCAGGACAGCGAACGAGGCACCATCACGCTCATTGGAGCGACCACGGAGAATCCCTCCTTTTCGCTCAACAATGCCATCCTCTCAAGATGCAGGCGGAAGAATCCGAGAGTCGTGCGTTTGGTAAAGCGTGCTTCAGTGAAGCGGTTGGGAGAAGGTGCTGGCACCGGTGGTGCTTTGCGGTGTGGATCTCTGCGGTTGTTTTAGTTGGCTGTGAGAGGCTTTGGTGACCTTGGCAGGCTTTGCTCGTTTTGGGCCAAAGCCTTTGGAGAAGTTCTGGCCATAACAGTGGGTTCAGACACCCCAAGCAAGTACAACTACCTAGTTCAAATTCCCTTATGAATGCAACAGTGGTGTTGCAAGCTGCCATCCTACGGAGTATCACGATAGGTTGTGAGTTGTGGTGTTGGGCGATGTGTGTGCGTGTGTGTGCGAACCTGGGTGTGGCACCTGTCATGCAGATATATGGGTGGTCTTATCTGCAAAGCAAACATGTCCAAGATGTCGGCGCTGCACATGCCCATGAATCAAGGTGTCCTGAGTCTACAAGCCATGCCCCCTGCCACGCGTCCAACGCCATGTCACATGTGAAAAGAACGCGCAGAACATGCATGGCATGTTGATGCATCTTTTGCAGTCGCAGAGTCTGCGCAGGTTGGTGGTCTTCGGGAAGCTCTCCAGCGAAGCCATCGGCCGGGTGATCGACCGGGCCGTTGCGTTGGATCAGCAGCTGGCAGGCGTTCACCTCAGTGCTGAAGCTCGGCAACTGCTTCTCGGTGGGGTTCAGAAGGTGGGAGTTTTGCTGAAGTCCGAAGCCGGACATGGCTTTGGGGATCCCAGATGGATCAGAAAAGTGATATTCAGGCAGTGGGAGCGAGTGTTTTGTGGCCTTAAGGAGACCTGTGATTTTGGAAGGCCTGCAATAGCAATCCTCATGCAAGGTTTGAGAGAGACAGCTGCGGGTTGCTAGCACCCTTCAGCCCAATAGTGGTTTCTGTTTCTATCCAAACAGTGGTCATGTCATGTCGAGGTTCCAAAAAGGTGGGAAAATGGGTGATGCTCCTTTCTGGACGCAAGAACAGTAGTTCTGTGACAGATGGTCCTCTGATGCTCAGGGGTTGTTACACGGATGTTCTCCACTAAACATGGCTAGACAGAAACGCTCGGAGAGTGTCAAAGTGAGTTGTTTGGCTGAAAAAGAAGTGACTTGACAGGTCCAAGTTCCGGATTGTCGATCCAGAAGGGCTTTCACAGAAATCGGATGTTGTGTTCGCCATGGTCTTCATGTTCTCTCCATCATCGTCATACTTCTTCCCACATGGGAGCAATGTCCACATTCTCCTGATCCCAACCGAAAATCTACTTTCCCAGCCAACCCCCCTTCAGCTTAACACAGCCAGACTACCCAAAACCTCCGAACCTCTCCGAAGCTCTCCGAAGCTCTCCGAAAAAGAAAAAAGAAGCAAGACACATTCCCAATCCTCGGCGCCTCTTCAAGGCTCGTGGCAGCGGCCGATGGAGATGCCCGCGTGGCCTTGAACTCTCTGGAGCTCGCCGCATCGCTCGGCGCCACCGCGCCCGCGCCCACGGGCGGCGCGACCGGTCCGGCGATCGAGGCGGAGACGGTGCGCGCGGCGGTGCAGCGCCGGGCACTCTACGATCGGAATGGGGACTTCCATTATGATCTCATCAGCGCCTTGGAAAGCGAAGAGTGTGTAGGATGCTGGATGAAACATGATGAAACCATAAGGAGGAATGACAGATCACAGAGGAGTGACTGGTTTATGTGTCCTTTGTTGGAATGGTGGATAGGTCTTGTTCTACAACCAACAATCAGCCTCCACATGAATGAGATATTGTGATCTCCATCCTTCGCCATCACTAGTAACAAGAAGCTACTAGGGCATCGCTACTAGTAACAAGGGCAGCCCAAGTGCCTTGCAACTTCCTTCACCCAGGTGCTTTGCACAAAAGCCTCCGTGGCGGTTCCGCCGATGCCGCCCTCTACTACGCGGTGCGCATGTTGACCGCCGGCGAGGAGCCGCGCTACGTGACGCGGCGGCTGATCCGCTTCGCCTCGGAGGACGTGGGCCTAGCGGATCCACTGGCCTTGAGCCAGGCGGTGGCAGCGGATCAAGCGGTGCACGCCATCGGCATGCCCGAAGCGGGAGTGGTCATTGCTCAATGCGTCTGCCTGCCTGGAACGGGGGTAGGAAGGACCCGAAGGAGAGAAGAGGGAACAAGATCACCTCCCCTCTGACAGCTGCGGGTATCGGATAACGTGGTGACACAGCCATTCGCCCCAATCCCCAATCTGAACGGTTTGAATGCTTCAGAGGGGAGCAATCAGCCACTAGGGGGTATCCACATGTCATTCAAAAGGGGGCACGCCGAAGATACAACTTCCAGTGACTCGTGGTGCCCTCAACTGGTAGTCATGGTCATAATCCGCCACTTTCACATGGGGTTTTGCCATGGGGTAAGAAAAATCCGTCGTATCCAGACCCATTTCTCACACAACTCAGGTCATCTACTTGGCACTTGCACCAAAGAGTTGTGCAGTCTATCGTGCTTACGAAGCAGCACAGAAGGTGTGTGAGGAGGAACCGCATGCAGCGGTACCACTGCACATCCGCAATGCCCCCACCAGCATGATGAGGAGACCGGTCGAAGCAGAATTAAGGCCTCAAGAATATTGTAAATAGTTATAAGTGGTTTCTTAGATGTGACATCAAAGGAGAATTTGGGTGAAACTCCCGGAAGCTTGCTGCTCTGAAGGTTTCAGGGGCAGGCGATTTACCCCGCTGCATTCTTCTCAGGTTGCTGGCAGAGTCAAACCTGCATTTCAAAAGGGGTTGGTTGTTCAACGCAGTGTTCGGCGATTCGGGCATTGCAAGTGGTGCGTCCAACACATTCGGGTCTTTGCTGCGTCATGCGTGTTCATCCAAGCATACTTTTGACCTTGATGGGTGCTCCAAGATAAAAAGTATGGCCGAAAAGAGCTACCCATTTGCATGAGTTTTGAAGAGGAAGTTTCTTCATACTGTGCTGGATGTCTTTTGGCGAGCGACTTGTCCCGTTCCAAACCAGGCTTCACCCAGTACAATGAAAGGAGGCCAAGCAGTCACTAGTTTGGAAAGAAGTCGTCGGATGTCAGTGCTTAGGGTTGAATTCCTTGCAAGAGCCGGAGGCTTTATATAAATCACTCCGGCATCCATTTCGTTCGCTCATGTTCCACACCTGGAGCCGATGACCAGGAGCCTTGGCTACGGCAAGGGTTACGTCTACAACCCTGCGGAGGGATACACTAGGGGCTGCGCTGAGGGATACCTTCCACCCCAGCTGCAGAACCGGAAGTTCTTCTCTCCCGATGATTGCGAGCCTGGTCACAACCTCCAGTTCTGTCAGCGAGATAGCGTGGAGGAAAAAGGCTAGCTAGTAGATGCTTTGACCTGGGGAGGTGCTGCATGAGCTTGCTGGATTGAAGAAGGAAGGTAAGTGAATGCTCCACAGTCTGCGATGATGGAGTCCATTTGAGTCCTACTACGAGCTGACCTGTCCCCAAAGACCCCCAAACCAAGATCTACATTAGTTCTTTGAAGACCGCTGACAGGAGGTGCCGGTCATTGACCATATTCATATGATTCATATTTCTAGATAGAACAAAAGACGTGTGATTCCTAACGTTGTCCCAAAAGACATGTGATTGCCTGCACCTGCTGTGGTGAATCACCTTCTTCATCTTCTTCAATCTCTTTGACCTTTTTGTGATTTTTCCAGGAAGACGGAAGACGTCCAAATCATCCACCCACTTCAAGTCACTTGAGTCCCCTTCGCCCCAAAACGGCCATTTGCTTCGCCCCAAAATGTCACACCCAGTCGTCTCGCGAGTCGCTGATCCGGGGCTCGGTCCTCCTTGGTCCAGGTGGCCAATCGCTTGTCCCTGCCACCCTTTCGCTGGGCACAGTCGGGCAGCCCAAGTGGCGTGGAGTTCGAAGCTGGGAGGCTGTCGATTTCGGTGGGCTTGTGGAGCCGGAATCAGGTGGGGGATGGTGTCGGGGTCAAGAGTTTTGGAGGGAAGAGGCTTGGAGGCTTAGAGCAAGTTGGTCCACGGCATGTCGAGTTTCCTCATGTGACGAACAATCCTCCTGTGTGGTGTTTTGTGGATGCGTTTGGTTTGCACAAAAGAGGGAAACCAGCTCAGCTTTGACTCAAGCGCAAACCAAAGTGATGGGTGGAGAAACGCTTTCTAATATCCTTTCTTCAGGAGTGTCCCCCATGAGTTGAAGATGGATTGCCCCACGAATCCTGAAATTTGTCGCGTTGCCACTTCCTGGACACCTTTCTTTTTGAGCCACGTCCTTGGGCTGATGTTGCACACCACCCTTCAATGCCCCCCCCCTTCCCAAACTGAGCAGTGGGCCTCGGTGCTCACTAGGCTCATCAAGGCTCACTTTGATCCGCCCAACTTGCTTCGAGGTACCGGCCCGAGCCAGAAGATTTGCCCGGGCCCCCAATCTTCCGCTGGTCGTCCTCGGCTGAGGCGACGGACGAAGAAAATGGGCTTCGAACTGATTCGTGTAAAGCTGTGGGAGATCTTTTTCCTGGAGGATTTGTGTAAAGTGCCAACGCTTCTAGTCTACAGCAAGTGTTTTCATTTGCAACCCTGAGATGGTCGACCACCAACACATCACGAAAGGTAGCTTGAGCTACCTGAGTTCTCCTTGCTTTAGCAAAAATGTATTACAATCAGGAGTTGGGATTGTGCATTGAGTTTGGTCCTGTAAGAGTTGATTCTGTTCGTCGGGGGGGGGGGCCCCCCCCCCCCTGGATCAAATCCCCCCTGCGCCAGTTCACGCCGTCATGGACTTCTACCAGGGTTACTTGTGATTGCCTGCTACCTTTCGTTCACCCCCTCCTCTCTCAAGTTGGCTCATCGGGTGAGTAAGGATTGTATTTTTCCTCATACCTATTGCTGAGGCATATCCAGGTGTTCATTGAATCTTTCCTTTGTACAGTTAGATCGAGTCCTTATAGAGTCCTTAGAGCGAGAAGAAGCAAAGGTGTCTATGTTGTCCTGGAGGTCCAAACTACTCCACGACAACATCCAGAAACCCCAATGGGTAGGGACGTCCAGTTCATGCCCAAAAACACGGATCACCGCCCCTGAAACCAAGATAGTTAATGTGGCGTGACAAGGTGCTGAAAAGCTGTTAATGACTGTAATGTGTTCTATAAGTTCTATATAACACTATTATATATTTGTTTGGCATGAGAATAACCAACAACGTGTCTTTTGAGAGCAGCCTTTTTGTTCTAGTTACGGCCGTCGTTTGTCTTACAGATGGTAGGAGCAAGTCAGGAAAATGACGAGCTGAATCCCACGCAACACAAGGGCGGAGACCCAGGTCTTGGTTCTCTGAACTGAGAAACCAGGTGAACTCATTTGCAGAAGATGAAAGAAGATTCATCTGGACAACTGAAGACATCTTGGTCCAAAGAAACGTCCTCCCAAGTGATTTTTCCAACAGCATGGTCCATGTGCTGAGGCTTTGTCCCTTGACCGTCCACGGCCTTGAGCTGAATTTGTTGGAAGCTGAGCATCATCCAAACTGGGCCCCCTCGACCGAGGAAGCGATGCAGAGAAACATTTGCAGTTTTTCTGGAAGAATTCCTGACACCATTTGGGCCATGAGCAATGTTTCTCCTCCAAGAATGATCTCAACACTTGGTAGGTCTACTGCCAACAGAGGATCTGAAAAAGGACCCATCACCTGGGGTACCTATAGGATAATCTATAGATGGTGTTTCAAGAAATTTCTCGAAGTGACTCGGCCTTCTCTCTGACAACTCCGATAGGCTGATGATCACTGACCGGGCCTTGAATCACACGTAAAAAACCCGCAAACAACTGGATGACTGTGACCTTTGAGGCGCTTTCTAAGAATTCAATAGCTTGGCTCATTGCTATCTACAATGGCTCTCATGCAACCCCTTGTGCTTGCACCACCAGCAAAAAGGTGATCTCCGGGACAAACTCCCTCCGCGACACTCGCAGTCCGAGTGTCCCTTGGTGAATCTGTAGCCCTGCCTGCCACCCAACCCATGCTTCCGACGGACTGAGCCGGTCCATGCTTCCGGCCGTGCTTCGCGCCTCCGAGAGCCGCACTCCAATGGAGCCTCCGGGTCCATCCACGGGCCGCGGTGGACCCGCGCCTCCGGGTCCACCGCGGCGACGGACCCGCAGGTTGGGTGCCGTGGCGGGGGTCTTCATCGGCCGAGCGGCCGTGGAAGCGCGACAGGCGGGTCTTAGGGTTCGGTGAGACTGTATTGCTCCGTTCGTAGCTTCTTGCTACTGGTATTAATGCCCTTGTTACTAGTAGCGATGCCCTTGTTACTAGTAGCTTCTTGCTTGTGACTCAGCTGACCGCTGTGGTTGAAGACATATCCGAAAACTTAGGGACCATGTGGGCGAGAGTGAGCCCACCTGGAGCTGCACGACAGGCAGTTGGCAGTGTTGGAAGAAATCGCTGGGGTGCATCTCAAACCAAATCAAGCAGGTGATCCCAACTGCCAACCAATGGGTTCGAAATGGTCAAATCTACCAGGTGCGCGCCAATTGATTGGGCCCTCATTCTCCCGCAGTCCTCTGCGGTTTCACACCCGACTGACAGGTTTTACAGGGCCTCGCCTGTGTCGCTGCTTCAATGTTACCAGCCCGGACGCCTACTCTGAGCGGCCCAGCGGCTGACCGCCGCACACACATCGCAGATCTCCAGTGGGGAGAGGGACTTGACACCACGGGATGGTCAACTCTTGTGTCAAATCTGCCCAGGTGGTGTTGCAGTTCTGCAGTTCAGTTATTTTGCCCGGTGTCCTTTATGGATCCGGGCGAAATTTCCGGAATCTCTGTGTTCTTTTTGATCTGAAGACTTCTCAGAAGCGGGCCCAGAGGTTTGCATGGAAAGTAGAAGATGGGGCAGTCGGGCAGTCGCAAAACCATGGCTTTCCAGCAGTTACATGTGGTGGATCTCCATTTAAGCCCGGTCTTCCCTCAGTTCGTGCCAAATTGTGACAGCTTCGTGGCATAGCCGGCCGCACCAATTTGCTCATCCTCTTACTGAAGAGCGGATAGAGAGGGAGACAGGGCCATAGGACCCGCAAAGGAGACAGGGGACCACCCGACTTGAATTCGGATGTGTTGTGCCACCTGAACTTCGTCAATCACAAACTAACTGTGAACTGGGTGATCCACCGGTCGACCAAGTCGCCTCGCAGCCCAGTTCTCACCTCGACCCGAGAACCGCCTCCCCACGGCTTCAGCCCGTGGCCGGGACGGTTCTCGCCGGCGGCGGTGGCCCGTGGCCGCCGAGGTTTCATTTCAATCGATGTTCCTGGATCGAACCGCTGGCTCCTCAAGGGACACGAAAGAAAAAGAGCAGGGTGTTGTTTTTTTCCCAAAAAGAACAGGGAACCATGGATCACATAGAAATGGAAAAAAAACAACACACCAGTGGTTGGCTGTTGGTCCTTCATCAATGGATCGTTGGGGGGTGCAGTTTGTTGCAACCAGGTTACCACTATATGTTTGGAGCCTGGTAAAAGTGCAGTGCTGACTAGCTAAATTGAGATTGCACAATGTCCAAGTCAGTGTCTTGCAAAAAGCTAAGATTACAAAGAAACGAGTATCTTTCGGGAACGATTGTTGAGTCAGTAGAAAATGAACAGTTGGTGCTTTCCAACATGAACTGGGCACAGCACCACAGCAAATTCGATCAGAAACCACCAACCTACTGCGCCAGGGGTTTCTCCATCTCATTCGAGTTGGAGAAACCACCAGACAAGCCCCCGCCAACCCATTGGTTCTGGGGTCTCCTGGTCTCCTATTCACATACACAACTCCGCACGACTCCCCGTCGTCCAAACCCAATCGAAGGAAAGGCAATGCTGATGTGTCGAAGCTTTTTTGTTGGAAGGAGACCGATCGACCACGTCAACCCACCCAGAGCATCCGTTTGCTGTGGATTCTGGAGTTTGCCATGTAGAAGGCTTCTAGGCCAAGTGTTGAATTTCTTCCTTCAAAAGTAAGCCACCCATTTGTTCATTCAACTGAATGGTCTGAGGTTCCCTTCGCAGCTCCCTGTGCCGCACTTTTCTTCCATATGTCTTCCTGTGCAGCTGGGGCTCCCAGCAGCCAGCTAGTCCTTCCTCGTTAGCTGGGTGGGAGGTACTTCAGCAGTTGAATAGTAAAGAGATGTCCCTTTCAAGAGAACAGCTTTTGTCTTTACATGAGGTGTGCGGTTATTTGCGTGTGTTTCACCCACTAAAGCGTCAAGCAATCCGGTGTTAAACTTTTCAGATACACCAATAGCCATGCACGGTGGGAGGGGAAGTTCAAAAATGATGAGCGATAGATTGAAAAGATAGGAAGCCGTGTCATAAAGAACAATGGTGGACATGGATATCGTTTACGTCAGCAATGGGGTTCCCCCAAATGTTGGATCCATATATTGTATAATTGAAACAGAAAGGAGCTTGAAGGAAGCGGCTGGGGGTGCAAGGTGCTTCTTCAGAATGGCAGCACCGGATGGAGAAGAGAGCCCAAGTTCTTCATTGGTGTCTGAAGAACCCCTTTGGCTCCATGTGAGGAAGTCCATGTTGAGCTTCACGAGATACTAAAGCTCGAGCCGAGCGGTAGCCACGCGTTCTTGTCCATGGATTGTTTGAAACTCCTAGTCACCTCCAATTTCGGAGAGCTCCGCTCCTAGTCACCTCCAAAACAGCAGTCCCATGGTGGTTGGTGGTTCACCCATGTGTGATCATTCTTGTCACATGATGACAAGGCATGTTCGAGTGCCACGACGAGGTCCGTCCACGTTCAACAGGTAAGGACGTAAGGAAATGGAAAAGCAGAATCCTCAGGGGGCAAGACAGTCTGCAGCTGTTGTTGATGATTCTTCCGGCCGGATGGTGCAGGAAAAACACCACTGGAAGTCAAAGAATATCTCGGAAGAAGGGGCAGTTCGATGTATGGTGGTTTCCCCCAATCGTTGAAGTGGTCAATCAACTCAACACCTCAGCTACTGTTCAGGTCCTCTCCCCCTTCGTGGTCTCCAGCATGGCGACTCTTCTCCAAGAGGTCAGGGACGCGAATCGCGTCATTCCAATAGAACTCACCGAGCGCACGGCGTTGAGCACGGGAGCCTTGTGATGCCTTGTGATGCCGAACATGGTTGATCACGGATCACGGGTGGACTGTGCTTTATGTGAAGTGTCAAGATCCCAGAAGAATACATCTTTTGGGAGGGTGATGCGTTTTCGTGTGGCTTTGTTCAGAGCTTGGTGAGAGATTTCTGTAGCTGGTGCAGTAGAGTTGCATTCAGGCCAAGTAGCCGTCCATTGGAGTGGCGGGCTACAATCAGTTGGGCAATGTGAGGCATGGGGGTGCAACCCCTCATCCTTGCTGGGGCCAGTTGAGGCAATTCGGACCATCTCTCAAGAAAGTTAGGAGGGAAGAGACTTCACTTCCCAACCAATCCATGGTTGATTGATATGGTTGATGGGAGGAATTTGGGAGTCGAGTTATAGGACTGTCACACCAGTTACTCGATGTTACTCGTAACGTCGTAATAATCAGCGTTCAGAACATTTATGCTTGTTCAAGCTATTCCCCTCCGAAAGAGCCACCTGCTTTTCTGATTGCATGTGACATAGCTGCTGTTTTGACGAAGTTCACCCTCAAAGCAAGGCTGTGTTTGGAGGTCTCATTTGTGTCTCACACTGTAGCACTTCACGGCTCTCACACGTTCAACCCGAGCAGTGCTTGTTGCAGCTCTGTGGGTTCCGAACGGCGCGAACGTCTCGAACGGCGAGGCTCAACTTCACCGCTGCTTGATCCTGCCGGGGCCAACGGTGGGCGGTGGACCAGTCAGATCGTCGTACCGAGATTGATAAGGCGCCTACTTAAGGCTCAAGACAAGCACTTGGTGTTGACCCGCTTCTGAGGTGTTCTGCTGTTTACTTCTGCAGTCACTCATGTATAATCATGTATATATATATATACTTCCTAGTCCATCCACGGGGGCACCTGAGACAGATCCAATGGCGACGGATCCAGAGTTGTGCATTGAGGTGCTGTTGACAAGTGAGAGAGGATGTGCAGTAAGAAATGCTAGGCACAAACATACATGAACCATGAGCACTGGAGTATCCTTTGCCCGATATATACACCCAGAAATCCTGGATGGCCTCTTGGTTTTATGGTGGCTCTGTGAGTTTGGGGAGTGGCAAATTGGGATAGTTTGGTTTTTTGTTGTGTTTTCACGGTCCACACCCTAATTAGCTCATCCCCTTTAGTGCAGGGGTAGGGGTAGTGGCCCGCCTGTTTGCCGGTCCGTGTGGCACCCGGGGATTGAACCCATTGGCACCATACCGGCTCTCGGATGGTTTGTTTTTTGCTATGTTACTGGTAGTGCGCGCATTCCAGTGTTCATTCCTGGGGGTGTGGCGGCTGAAGGCAGCCTGGAGCTTGACATAGGTCTTCTGGGTTTGAGAGGCAACTAGCTTGCGAGCTGTTGCCAAATGAAAGGCCGTCTTGCTTGGATGTGTATTGTGGTCATCCTCCAGTAGCTACAACATGAGAAACCAGTAGGAAACTGGAGATCCAACTGGAGTAGCCACAGTTGAAGGTTGGAGAACAATTATATATTCATTTGATTGCAACTCATTCCCTTGGCCATTCTGCGGAAACCGAGGTCAACGTTGGGGCACTCGCTGCGCAGGGGCCTTCGCAGATCCCTCAAGAGGCGCCAGCATGGCTGAGGCACTCCTAATGTGGACACCAACAGCCAGTTTGGGTGATAATGATGGGGACCCTGTTGTCCAATGGATTAGTGGTTTTGTGACCCTTGCTTTTCAGACCGCCTCACTTGGTTCAAAACCACCAGTCATGGTTTATTCCAGGTACGATCCTTTTCCGCTGCAAAGCCGCATGATCCATACCTTTGGTTTCGCCCCCATCTTCCGAGTGGTGGATTCTCCGTGCAGCATGGGGGGGAGAGCCAGACAGGTGAAATGAAATGTTCCCTTTTGAAGAGGTAAATTGGTCAAAAACGAGGGACCAGGGGTTGACCAGCCAGAATAGACATAAGAAACTACCTGTGGACCTCAACCCAGGGCTGCGGGTTTTGACCCACCAAATATATAGGTCCAGACCAGATGATTTTCTCTGAACTTGGCAAGTTGGTCTCTCATAGATGAAGCTGGCTTGCTAGTGGGCCTACTGGGCGGGGGGGGGATTCCAAAACGCAAGCCCTCCACCCACCAACGAAATACGGTGCAAGCTCCGCCTGTTGTGCAGAGCTCAGGGATTGGTCAATATTAAGCGGACAAAATGCATCACGAACAAGGAAGAGACGTCTCTCACTCACAATGCATGGTGACACAGTAGCCAAACAGGTCCAACAAAAAGGACGAAGCACCTCCAAAAAGCCGCTCGGACGTCGATGAGAGCCAGGTTCTGGTCATATGAGGCTGAGGACAGGGCATTCCGGGGCTCCGGCATCCAGCTCCTGGATCTTGAAAACGGCCGGGGAGGCGACCTTAGACGACTCTCAGATCCGGAGGATGTTCCATGAGATGTCCGAGATTTGGGTAGGATTGAGCTGGCGGACAGGAACTCTAGATCGCCTGAAGGATCTGAGATGAGGAAGAGAGATGAACGAAGAGAGTTTTCTCATGAGTGCCATGGGAGAAACCATGGCGGCCCATTTCAGACTTGTGAACATGAACTTTGTCCATGAACACCTAATGGTCACGGAGAAATGTGTTTTTTTTTCTATGTTCATCATCCTACTCTGGATTCCCAACGGATTGGAGGGAATCTCGATGATTCCCAGGAGGTCCAGGTGATTTGTGTTTTCCCATGTTGCCTCCGGAGCTGTTTGAGTTGAAACAGGTCCAACCAGTCCAACCACCAAAGCTGCCAGCTTTGCAGGAAGATGGTCAATTGGTTTGGCTTGCAGAGGACTGGCACTGGTGCCCGCGTCCATGGCCTTGCGGGTCAACGGGTCAGAACCTTTCAAAAACCTGCTTGGGCCTTGCAATGGTCTTCCAATGGCTTTCCATTTTCGTGCTTGTTGGACCATGGATGACCATGGACCATCTCCCAAGTGTTCATCTTTCTCAATGGCTGTGTCCAGTGTCGAACCGGGGTCCAGGAAAATCCACTTGGCCTTTCATCACAAGCGAATCACAAACAGCTGCATTTTCTGGTGTCCAAATAGATCAAAGGACCTACGGTGACCTACGCAATCAAACATGCTCGAAGAATGCTCTACCGGTCCGACACAGTTTTCACACGCCTGCTAGACTCGACTGGGATGTGACATTGCTGGGAGGATTGATTTCCAGCTAAAAGCCAATCCAAGTGACAAAAGGGTTCAAAGACGTGAGCTTCTCAAAGAGAAGCGGAACTCCTCCACTCCTCATCGCTCCTGAAAACTCCAGAGGATGGAGCAGAAGTAGATGATGATGTTCCGGCTGACTTGCCCACCACTCGGGAGATCGTGCCCGCGTCGCGTTCCGCGTCGCCGAACCCCGCGTCGTCACTCTACAGCTCGCTGTTGGTTTTGCTGTTTGTTTGGGGTCGATCGAGAGGACTAAGCAAATGGTTAAACTGCCAAGGTGCCAGTGACCTTCAAAGACCTAGCTCGGTGATCTTGTTGGGTTCCTTTAAGATCTTTAAGGCTTTTGCAGAAGTGTTTTGAAGATTCGGAATGAGATGAGACAAATAGGAAGGATTGAGACACAGAACGTTCTACTTCTCAGATACTACTTCCGCAGCTGTCTCAGCTTGGCCACATGTGGCAGCGCAGCTTATGGCAGCGCAGCTCGGACGAAGTCTGTGGTGGTAGATCCTCTTCCGGAGAGCAGTGACGGTGTGTCCCCGTCTTGAAAACCAATATTCAATATCAGTGAATCAGGCAGGTCATTGCGGTGCTTCATCAGGTTTGTCAAAGAAGGATGTAGGTTTACAAAGGAAGATAAAGCTGAGGAGATTTGTACGGACAAAGACCTGACCAGAAGGAACAGTTGATAAACTTGTTTGGTTTAGAGTGACCGCTTGTGTTGAAACGCACTTATATTTGGTGGGTTTGCTCCCCTGCATGCTTGCGAAGCAAGATGATGACTAAGATGTATTGATTTAATCTTGAAGTGGGCGGATCAATGACAGGTCAGAACCTACATAGCTAGAGAGTCTCTCGCGCCCTGAGGTCACTCGCCACCGCAACGCTGGTCGAGCTTCATGGGCTCCCTGAAGAAGTCTTGGGCAAGGAGCGGGAGCGCATTCTTCGTCCCAGGAGAAAGAATGGCGCACACAGAATTCATTCGTTCTAGAGAGGGTCCTGCTTTTTTGCAGTGTGTGTGTGTGTGTTTTCCGAAGTGTGGAGGAAGTTTGGGACTTGCAACTTGGGCAGAACCAGGGAAACTCTGCTGGGAGCTCACAGTCGGTATTTTTAAAAGAGAGCGGGTAGTCATGGGGGGTGGGGTTGTGAAAGTTGTGATTTTGTAAGGTTTTGCCTTTTTTTGCAAATGATATCACATTGATAGGGTTGTGAAAGTTGTGATTTT